GGCTCTTTTTTAGAATAGCACCTAACCAAACACTTGCATCAAAATCACGTTCAGGTTGGAAAAAGGTAATACTTGTTTTAAATATAGTACAGTAACTTATTAAATTTACATAATTGGTTTATCCACCTGGGTTAGTTATTTTTTTTTAAAAAAAAAATTATGTCATATATTTATACAATATATATAAATAGGTATTTTTTTTTTTTTTTAAAAAAAAAAAAACCATGTCATGTATTTATACAATATATATAAATATGTATTTTTTTTTTAAAAAAAAAAAAAAAGAATTTTTGTAATTTAAAATAAAAAGCAGGTTTGAGTTACTGTATTTTAAAACTTTATATTCTGAAAGCCAAGAAATTAACTTTTATGACTTTATTATTCTAAATTATTAGGATAAAACAAGAGTTTCTATTATGCTAGCGTGTAATGCAATTGGAACACAAAAACTAAAACCACTTGTAATCGGATCCTCAATTCAACCTCGTTCGTTTGCACGCATTAATCATAACACCTTGCTAGTTACATACAGAGCCAATTCTCGAGCATGGATGCGATGTGATATTTTTGGTGAATAGTTAAAAATGCTAGATTCTCAATTTCGCCTTCAAAATAGAAATGTTTTAATTTTAGTTGATAATGCATCTTGTCATTATGATCCAAACAGTATTTTACCAACTTCTAATTCTAATAATGATAGTTATGAAGAAGGAACTGAATTAGCGGAAACATCTGTATCTAGAATTAGTAACAGAAGATTGTCTACTTTACAAAATAATCAGAGTCAAGCTCGTAGTGGTCGAAGTCGTCCCTATACAATTCCTGATCTTACTGGCCTCCGGTTAACTAATATTAAGCTTCATTTTCTTCCACCTAACACTACTGCACATCTTCAACCAATGGATGCAGGCATTATCAAGTGTTTTAAATCAAAATACAAACAAAAATATATTCAACATCTTCTCACTCAGTTTGAACAAGGTGAAGATATACAAAAGTAAGTTGGAAATATTAAGTGCTACAAATTAAAAACCTGGAACTGAATATATAAGTATTATATATTCGGTTCTAGGTTTTTAATTTGGAGCATTCAATATAAATATTATGTTGTATGTCAAATTAATATCTAAGTCAGATTAAAATAATTATAATCTCGCTAATAGTGATGCGGTAGAATTGTCCCAATGATTGTCGTAACTGAGCTTAAATTTTCGTAACTTGCCGTAACTATAGTAAATAATAATAATAAGTTACGGCATTATAGCCGTAACTTATTATTATTTACTATAGTTACGGCAAGTTACGAAAATTTAAACTCAGTTACGACAATCATTGAGACGATTCTACTGCATCACTACTCGCTGACATCTGCCCTTACCTTAACATAAGCTCCCTCCCTAACCTTAATAAAACTCTACAACATTTAAATTTTGATCTGACATAAATTTTAATAATGCACAATATTACTAAGGTATTTACTATTTAATTAAAATAAAATTTTAGAAAAAAACTTACCATTAGAGATGCAATTTACTATATTGCAGAGTCTTGGAATGAAGTTAGTGAAACAACAATAATGAATTGTTGGAAAAAAACTGGAATCTTGTCCTCTATTAATTATGAAGAAATACAAGATGCAACAAGCTCTTACGATACTTTTATTAAACAAGAAAATGATAATATTGAGTTGTCAGTTGCTGATTTAGACTCATCAGTCCTGCCTCAGGTCAACAAGTATCTTGAACTTAATAACTTGTATATTCCTACTGT